ATAAATTATAGTTAAATTGTTAATATATATAATTTAATTATTAATATTTAAATAAAACTTACTTTATATAAAAGTCCCGACATTACTCCATTTGGTTCAATATTGTTTTCAGCATTTAATGCTTGCAAGATTTTTTGTATAGTAAGATTAATTATGTGGACAAAACATTGAACATGTTGATTAATTGCATTAAATTCGATGTTGTTTTCAATAAATGTATTCTCAAGAGCTCTAAAAAAAGTTATATTGTTGCTTGCATTGTCGATTGTTATACTTAAAACTTGCAATATATAATTTTTAATTTAATATATTTTTTATACGATGTTTTTATATTTAATATCAAATGTAACTTATTTTTTTTGTAAAACCAAATTTATTTAAACTTTGTAAAAAAGTTGTTTTAAGATTTTCACCAGAATGTGGGCCCTCAAGTTTAATAAAATTTAAAAGTAAATTTTTCAATTCCTAATTGCTTGAAATTCAATATACTGTAATTCCTAGAAATGGAAAAGCATTTGCCGATGTCCAAGCATTTAAAGTAAATGAAATTCTACCAAATGTTTCCTATAAAAATTATATAAATAAATATAGAATTATTTAGATAAAATTTATATATTATATACAATTACCTGCAAAAATTGTTACACTTTTTTTTTATTTTCGTCGTAAACTAATATAATAATATTTTTAATAGTATCGGCAGAAGGTATTGTAATTCCATTTCATAAAATGTTTAATATATTACAAAAATCTTGAGATTCAATACTTGTAAAAAGTAAATCATTAACAACAATTCACCTTACAAGTAAATGCAAGAAAGTTGCTATATTATATGTCTAAATAATTTTAATTAACAATTTTTATTTATTAAAAATATAAAATAAAATTAATTTACTAAAATCGGAATATTTTCTATTGCTTCATGTAATGTAAGTTGGTTATTTTTTGATAGTTTTATCAGATGCTTTTTTTTAATATGTTTTTACATGCTAGTGGTACTACTTTTATTTGCACTAACATATATTTTACAATAATCGCACTAAGATTTTTTTAAATTTTTATCGAAAGTAAAGTGTTTTCATATTTAGCTCTGATATTTCTTGCTGCTTGTACTTGATGATATACTAGAAATTTCACTGTTAGTAATTTTTATTTTATCATATATTTTTAACTGTTGTTCATATTGATAGTTATCGAAAAATATGTTTTGATCCATTTCTTCATAATTCATGAATTCATTCAAATTTTTCATTATTTTCAATATAAATTAATATTATTGAGAAACAACATGTAAAAAGAAATAATATACTTTGATTTTATAACATTTTATTGCTGAAATGGCTTTGGAATAGCTTTGAAATAGCTTTTAAAATGGCATATTAAATATTTTAGTATTTTTAGCCATTTAAATAATAAATTTTATAATTAAATTATTAAATAGATTTATATATATTGTTTTATTTCAATAATATAATAAAATAAAAATTGCAATAAAAAAAAAACTTTTTCCCACATTGCATCGTTTGTGAGAAAATTTACCATAAAAGGAAACTAAAAAATTTTGTTTTCAAAAAAAACACCCAAGGATCCTGGGGGCTCTTCCTTCTCCAAGGTTTGCCCAGCAACTATGGGTTTATTTTTCTGGATGTTCTCATAACCGACATCTCAAATTTACAAGCAGTCATAGTTTACAAAAAATCCAAAAACTAACAAGATTATTGCTTCCAGTCCAGCAATAACTATCAAACTTTCACTACTTGAAAACCACCCACAAATTTGGCTTACTTTAGTATACTTTACCATTGATGGATCTGAAGCTTCAAAAATAATTACTGCTTCCTTCAAACCCTATAGGAAAAGTACCTTCTCTTCTTCTGCAACCACAGTAAACATATCCCTTCTAGACCCCATGACAGTGGACACTCTGAACTTATTTCTTGGCTTCCAAAACATCTTCAACATTATCGATAGTGACAGACTAGGAGTTATGAAAGAAATGAACAAACTAAATCTCAACTACAAGCTTCATATACTAGGAGTTATGAAAGAAATGAACAAACTAAATCTCAACTACAAGCTTCATATACCTTGAAACAAAATCGACATCCAATTTGACGATAGTGGAAATTTTTTTTCTCTAATCCAAAAAACCAAAACCTTCAAACCCCAAATACACTCGCACCCAATGAAGCAATGAGTGACAAAAAATGAAATGCGGGATGATTGTCTTCCTAACACACAACATGAATACGACAGCACATCCAACACTAACACCAGTGCAGCAGTGCATCAAACAGATATGAAAGTTGATAAGCAAAGTACGAATCCAAGCCAATCTGAACTAACTAACTCCTCTCTCCCTATAAATCCAACCTCCTGAACAGATGAAGTTGACGAAGCAACAACAGATAGATCAACAACTTTCTCCACTATTGAAGCTGACATCAGGAGAACGAGATCTCTGGACGAACACTCAAAAATTCTTGAGTTGTATAAAGAAGTCGACAAATACAACAGAAACACTAATGCAATAATTCAATGGTTTCTCAATATAAGAAAGAATGGCCCTTCTGAAGTAAAACCAGCAACCACTGCCATTATGACCAAACTGGCCTACAGAGACTGCACCTTTTTCAAAACATTTGCAAGGGACAACCTTCTCAAAGGCAAACACCAAATCAAATATGAAAACTTGGAGAAAGGATTTCACAATAATTATCTCAAAGCAAATAATATTGATTATATCAATAGATTAACAAAGAAAAAAATCAGGACAATAATTAACAAAGCTCTCTTTATCACATATCTTAAATTCACTGATCTTACAATCTTAAAACACTGAAAAATAGCTCAAATTCTTGACTTCAGCTTCAACTTTTTCATTGACCCACTGTGGAAAAAATCAACTACCAGGTCATAATTTGAAAATGCGAAGAAGCAATTAAAGATAAACTCCCTACTCTTCCTACTCTTCCTGAACTTGTCCCATTCTCAATCAAAATTAAACTCTCTAAAGCTATTCCAATTACCTCTTCCCGATATACAACCAAAGTAGTTAATAGCCTCAGGTCCTTTTACAACTTTGACCGACTTCCTGAATCATATTTTGTGCAAAGACCACCACTACCCGAAAATCATCAGACCTTAAATCTGAACTTAGAAGTATTTTCTTCCTGACCAAGCGAAGTGATCTCAGAAACTTAAGAGATCTCACTGACAAACTAAGAGACTATTACTATGTCTCTTCCAAGCTACCTGAATTATACTTCAAGCTTCCTCCACCAAAAATACTTCTGCCAGCATCATACACAGAACTGTTACCTAATCTAGCCTGCCATTTTCCAGTAGAAAGCAACTCTGAAAAAATTCGCTCTGCCATATAACTTCTTAGAGACAATAATTTTGCAATTCGTTATCTTCCTTTGAATTACATTTAAGTCAAGTGCCCACTTCCACCGACACTCTGGTTTAGTAAAAACAATTCCATCTCTTTACCAATCTAATTGCAAGAGGAAGTCAGGGACTTCATTGCCACACTCAAACAAAAATTCTTTATTAAGCTGCCCTGGGTCCCGAGTGGATCAGCAAAAACCTAATTCAGGACAAAAGACTTTACATCCCTGAAAAAATCAAAACACTTAAAGAACAACTGAACATTATAGATGAGGAACTCCATAGAGACTTGTCAATACACCCATAAACCTTAAAAAAAATCAAAGAAACCTACTAAGAACAAATTCCTAGAGAATGGATCTCACCAGTTCTTCCACTCCTGCCCTTCATGAAGGAAGCTAACAACTATTTGAAACAAAACAACATAAATATTACATTGCCACTAATTAAAGACCAATACCTAGCCGGTGCTATAAAACTATTTAAAAACTACTTTCACTTTGACAGTCTCCTCACCACCTTTATTATTGAAAAAGAGTCACCTGACCCAGGCTTGACTCTTTTCCCCTGCCTCTTTTAATTATAACGACTTCCACAACTAACTTAATATCCTCTCTTACAACAACATCCCTACATCCCAGTCCTTCTCCGACTATCAAAAACCTTCTTAAAATCACAACACTCAATGTTAGAGGCCTCAATCAAAAAGGCAAGCTAAACAAAATCATTTATGCCATTAAAAATGAAAGAGCAATTTTCTGCTGTACCGAAACAAAAATATCATCAAACCACCAGCTGCTAAACAGAATAGGAGACAAAGTCATAATAACAAGCAAATCCAGTTTCTCTGCCAGCAATGTTACATGCCTTATATTCTCTTCAAATATAGCATGTCATATCTTCAAAATGTATACTGAAAATGAATTCTGGTGTGCAATCCACTTAAAATTCAAGCTCAAGGCCGATATTATCATAATTGCAATATATCTCCTGCATAACAGAGCAGACTGCCATACAGCAGTAATTTCTCTCAAAAACTTCCTCACCAACCATAAAAATAAACATCTTATCATCACTGAAGACTTTAATTCTTATCCAAAAGATACTTTATCCATCAATGCCCTGACTATGCTTCACAAGCAACAGGTCTACAACCTCATAGTAAGTTTAATCGATATCGCTAAAGTTACCAACAAGAAGTGCCAATACACACACATCACAAACTCTAGCACCTCAAGGCTGGACCAAATCTAGATCTTTGTAAATCTAGCAAGTAAAGGTTTGAGTTACAAAGTGTCTGATCAATTGTTCATCCCTACAGATCACAAAATGATTACTACTGTACTTGACTGGTTTGAATATAGACCCGATTGTATCTCTTTTATTACCAAAACCTATCAATTTGACAAAGCAACTAAAGAACAACTATAAGCTATATAGGAGTTTATTGAACTTGCCTGCACCAGAGCAAACAACCTTTCATGGGATGAAGTTAACTTAATTTTCAAAATGGTCATATGCAACAATATTCCCTCTAAGCAACAAAAGATATCTATATCATTGGCCAGGGCATTCCCCCAATATGATAACAATATTAGATTAGCAAAAGTAGCAATAAAAAAGATTCATAACAATAGAATACCTCACAAGCTTCTACAAATGGAATCAATTATTCTTGAAAACCTTACTAGCCAGCCACCATCCATTAAAACCCTCAACAAAGTTATCAAAGTTCTTTGAATGAAAAAATGAAAAAAGCAAGGCAGCTTGCAATTGATAAGATCCAACACTGCATTGAAAAAAATTTTCACAAATTTTGGAAAAAACCTAAAGCAGCAATCAAAAAAGTCTTGGAGGATCTAAAACCATCTCTAGATCTCTCTATTCTATCAGATGGAAATGAACTCCACGACGACCTTGACAAGCTCAATGAAATCATCATCAACCACTTTAAAAACATCCTGCGCAGCAAGCCTTTTAGTCTTGATCAGCAGTGGTCACCCGAATATGCCTCCAGGGATTCTATTTTCCCTAGCATCTTCGACGAAGCAACAACAGAAATCATGCTGGATGAAATTAATAGTGTACTTGCCAATCTTCCCAAAAGAAAGTCACCTGGCCTTACAACAATCCCTTATGAGCTGTGGTCGAATCTGGGCTTATCTGCAAAAATGCATATTAAAAAACTTTTTAACTCAATCATAAACTCTGGCAATCCTCCTATCCACTGGAAACACTCAGTTGTCACTCTTCTGCCAAAAAAAAAGTCTGATCTCATGAACTAGCAGACACCCAACCGAGCTCTCTAATCGAAACAAGTAGGAAAATTTTTACGAAAATTATTAATATCAGACTATACATGTTGCTGAAATTCGTAGATCCTTGATGCAATTGACACAACTATTTGATGCAATTAATTGAGTCACTATTAAAACATATAAATAATTGAGTCATGATGCAATTATTTTTGAGGATTTT